AATGATCAAAGTCGAAAATTAATGCGACTAGCCACCCTATATCTCGCACAGACGGGCAATGATCAAACACAAACACACAACACATAATAAACAGAAAACACATAAACATGCATACAACACTAGAACTCGGGATCTCGACTATGATGATGTAGTCGACGCCAGGAAGTGACGATGGCGGAAAGAAGTCCAGTGAAGTGGGCGATGGCGAACGTCGATGAAGGCCGCAGGGGAAGGGGACGCAACGGAATAGAGGTCCGGAGCATGGGGCGTAGTCAACCCATCTCGTGATGACCAGGCTACAGAAACAAAGGTGGCAGTTGGAAACGACGGAACTTGGGGAACTCTTTTTCCAAGTATCCAGAGGCAAACGTCACCGACGAAACGTGGGGAACTCGTTTTCCAAGTGTTCAAAGGCAGACAGCACCACCCATGCTTCGACTACTTCGAATCGTCGACGATGCCGATTGTTGAAAACAGCGAAGAGAAAACTGACGAACGCACAAAAAAATAAAAAAATAAAAAATGACGTATCCAGGTCGCGGCAATCGATAGACGAAATGCAAGCAACAAGGAAGAAGCACAGAGAAGGACACGTCCAGGTCGCGGCGATCCACGGGCAGACGCAGGCAGACAAAGAATAACGACATCAATCACAATCCAGAACGGGGAACTCAACCAAAACATACTCGAAACGGAGAACACTCATATTCCGCCAGCAACGGCGGTGGACTACGAAACGATCAAACAGAACACTGGGAACCGGGGACCGGGTTTGCGCTTTTGGCAGGCCTTTTCGTTTCTTTACTTTTCTTTTCTTTTCTTTTCGGTCCCAGTTTGTCAAACAGAAGTGAGCAGAACTAGGAAGACAAAACAAACGAAAAAAAAAAAAAAAACGGAGCAAGATCTTGCAAGACGCAAGATCTGAGAAAATCAAATCGCCAATGAAAAGTATGGTATAAAACAAAACAAAACACACAAAACATAAAAAAAAATGGGAAGTGTCCCCGCAAGGCGCCGAA